ATGGGTCCAAACTGGTCCAATGTAACAATACAAAACAAAATGACATCTGCAATTCAGAAAGAGAAGAGCCCAGAAACATGTCACCATATAATAATATATGTTAATAACCCGCCATGAGTCAGACGCACCCTGTACACATGGCACTACGCCTTCTGCTATTTCACCATCATGCACACCCTGACCTAGATGACACTGAATTAAATCAACACCAAACCGGATCTGCCTGTATACACGGATTCGGTGACCCGGGACAGCAAGGCAAGGTGTGTTTTCTGCACACTGATTACCTGAGCTCCGCCCCCATCCAGGCGTCATTCCAACATCCCTGTACTAAAACGGGGGCGTCGCCGTATCCGTGAGAGGAGGGGCTACAGTCAATGCGCTCCAGCCGGAGGCACGCCCACTGTTACATGCAGCGCTGTAGCTGCTGGAGGGGGCGGGGCCGGATCCCGGAAGTGTTGGTTGTGAGGCTATGCCAGGACAGGAGCTGAGTGGTGCTGAGTGAGTATATGTGGTCTCCTCTTTCTATAATTAGTGTGCGGTGCCGGGCTGTGTGTAGCCCACCCTGTGCTGTGTATGTACACAGTGACCATTGTACATGTGTGTGCACCTTCTGTATTCTCCTCACAGTGAGAGGAGAGAGAGCTGTGTGTGATGTGTGGGGCTGGTAGTAATGATGTGCAATGAATGAATAGTAAGGTGTACCTAACCTGGAACCAGCTGCTCTTCGTGTTGTGTGGAATGGGGGAAGGGTTAGACCCCCTGTCAGGGTCTTATTGTTGTCAGTGTGCCTGTAGGAGAGATTCACCCTCAGCAGGACTGACATTGGAGGAAACATCCATCATTTTCAGTTGTCACCAGAACAGGAGTAAAAGGATAATTTCTGATGGGGACACTTGTTGCAGTGATTGCTGGGAGGGGGTTTCCCTCTCTTTGGAGAGATCTTCTCTCACTTCCTGTTGTGTCTTTGGGGAAGGAACTGAAGGGAGATGTCAACAATCAGACACAGATGGGCAAGAAAATGGCATTTACCAGAACTGGAATATGGGTGAGCTGGTGTTTGGACTTGGGATGGCCATGACATCATTGACTTGTGATATTCACCTATTATGGCCACACATTGGGGATACTTGTGACATCATTGACTTTAATGTGACCTACATGGCGGGGATACTTGTGACATCATTGACTTAATGTGACCTCATGGCGGGGATACTTGTGACATCATTGGCTTAATACGACTACATGGCAGGGATGCTAGTGACATCATTGACTTAATGTGACCTCATGGCGGGGATACTTGTGACATCATTGGCTTAATATGACTACATGGCAGGGATGTTAGTGACATCATTGACCTAATGTGACCTCATGGCGGGGATACTTGTGACATCATTGACATAATATGACCTCATAGCGGGGATACTTGTGACATAAATGATCTAATCTGACTACATGGCAGGGATGCTGGTGACATCATTGACTTAATATGTCTGTGGGGAAGGAACTGAAGGGAGATGTCAACAATGGGACACAGATGGGCAAGAAAAATGGACTTTTAACAGAACTGGAATATGGGTGAGCTGGTGTTTGGACTTGGGATGACCATGACATCATTGACAGTGATATAAACCTATTATGGCCACATATTGGGGATGCTTGTGACATCATTGACCTGTCATGGCCACATATTGGGGATACTTGTGACATCATTGACCTGTCATGGCCACATATTGGGGATGCTTGTGAAATCATTGACCTGTCATGGCCACATATTGGGGATGCTTGTGACATCATTGACCTGCCATGGCCACATATTGGGGGTGCTTGTGACATCATTGACCTGCCATGGCCACATATTGGGGGTGCTTGTGACATCATTGACCTGCCATGGCCACATATTGGGGATGCTTGTGACATCATTGACCTGCCATGGCCACATATTGGGGATGCTTGTGACATCATTGACCTGCCATGGCCACATATTGGGGATGCTTGTGACATCATTGACCTGCCATGGCCACATATTGGGGATGCTTGTGACATCACTGACCTGCCATGGCCACATATTGGGGATACTTGTGACATCACTGACCTGTCATGGCCACATATTGGGGATACTTGTGACATCACTGACCTGTCATGGCCACATATTGGGGATACCTGTGACATCATTGACCTGTCATGGCCACATATTGGGGATACTTGTGACATCATTGGCATAATATGACCAAATAGTGGGGATGCTTGTGATATCATCGACCTAATATGATCACATGGTGGTGATTCTCGTGACAATATTGACCTAATATGACCAAATTGCAGGGATGCTTGTGACATTGACCTAATATGACCACATGGTCGGGACGCTCTTGACCTCATTGATCTAATATGACCACATATGGCTCCCTTACAGCCATGTGTATGAACCCCTAATGTGAAGTTATTAATTCTCAAAGATAACAACAAACACTCTGAAATCTAATTTCAGTTGCTTTATAACAACTAATAAGGGTCTCATGCACATGGGCCGTTACATGCTGAAAAGTCTTCCATCCTAAAATTGGCATGGGGAAATTTTACGCTAGAAGTCTTTTTGCCATATAAGCATCCGTGAGCATGATGACTTAGGCTCCATGTACACTGGAACATTTTTATACTGACAGTAAACTCGTGTAAACGCCTTACTCCATTTAGCCACATTTAGCACTTGGACGTTTATTTATTTTATTGGCCAGAGTACTTGCCATTGAAATGAATAAACACCCAAGCAGCTTTTGGACAAAATGTTCCTCTCCTGAATGCGATTCTTCTGCGTTCAGGAGATATTAAATGCCTCTAAACGCTGCTGCTAAACTCTGATAAAAGCCAATTGGGTTGATTTACTAAGGGGAAATAGACTGTGCACTCCAAGCGCAGTCTCTCTAGTCCTTAGATTGTACGCCCCTTGAAGGTTAGGGACTGATGTGAATGTACAATACATAGATGTAAAGCGCCACGTAAATTGATGGCGCTACATAAGTACCTGGAATAAATAAATAGATCTGAGGGGAACATGCAAGGAAAATAAGAAAACAACATTTTTCCTTGCACATGGTTGGATGAAAGAAATGAGCAGAGCTTCCTCTTGGATATAAAGCAACTTGCAGTGCACTTGAAATGCACAGTATTTTAACCTTTAGTAAATCAACCCCAATGTGTACATGGACAGATTAGAGTTTATTTACTAAAGCTGGTTCACTCAGAATCTTGTTCACTTTTGCATGGTAGCCAATCAGCTTCTAACGTCAGCTTGTTAGATTAAGCTTTAACAATAAAACCTGGAAGCTGATTTGTTTCCATGCAGAAGTGAACAAGACTCTGAGTGTACCAGCTTTAGTAAATAAACCCTACAGGCTTTTATTGAGTTGAGTTCAGGGGCTTTGGCAAAAACATAAATATGCCAAAAACTCCTAAACGTTTCGGAGTGGCAGTGTGCACGAGGCCTTAGAAATACCTGCTGGTTGTTTACATTAGAAGGCCGGCAATGTGTCATTATCTTTTCTCATAGAAAACTCCAATATTTTACTGGCTGTGTTGTGAACTTTGAAAATGAATTTCTCCATAATGCTAATAGTTAGAGAGGTGAATGGGGCTGGCAGCCGCACAGAGCCGCAGCAGGAATCTGATTCCTGACGCTTCAATTTTGACCGACCCTAACTGCCGATGTGAGTGTAGCCTGAATCTCTACTGTATAGTTGCCAGTGTAACAGTCTCTGAGAGCCACAGCAGGAATCACTATTTTCCTGTTGTTACTGTTTGCCCCCGGCTCTAATTGCCGGTGTGAATGTAGCGTTATGGGGGCTCCAAATCTCTCTCTCTCTCTCTCTCTCTTTTTTTTTTTTCTTTTTCTCTGGTGATTTGTAGCTGGTTACAGTACTTATCTATGCAGCTACAAAGGTATCTCATGACTACTAGTAGCTGCATTGAATAACATGGGTAGCCAGTGATGCTGTTTCTGTTGCTAGCTCTGAATGCTGCAAAAAAGCAGTCACTCAGCTACTGAGCTACAAATTGTTTTAATTTCACTCACATAGACCAATATTTAACTGCAATTTATTTTTCTCTTACAAACAAAAACGCTAAGGAGGGTGAATCCGTGGCTGTTACAAAAATGCTAGTTTGACTTGGACCTTAGTGTGCGTGATCTGGGTATATATTCACTTTAAAATATGAACTTAAGTATTGAGTTATAAAATTGCTTAAAGAAGTGTACATTTTATAAACTGGAGAACAGCACAAGTATCAGTGAGGTGAAAATCCTTTACCCCTGAGTGCTGCAACAGGGCCACATGAAGCCAAAATATCAGAAGTTAGGTATGGTTTCCCTAAAAGGTAGATTGATGTTCTGAAGAAATCAGTGGTACATCAGAAAGGTGCATTATGCCAGCCCTAGGAAGGCACAATCCCCATACGTAGGCCGCAGCATCAGATGTGGGGATCAGATATTTTGGAGGTAAATATCCTACAATGCAGGGCTGCTCAGTGGAGTGTGGGAGAGCACTTGGCTGACAGATGTGCACCTGTCTTTTAATGTGGCTACCTGACCACTGCTGCCAAAGTAGAAATACAGGCGCATCTCAATAAATTAGAATATCATCAAAAAGTTAATTTATTTCAGTAATTCAATTCAAAAAGTGAAACTCCTATATTATATACCGTATTTTTCGCTGTATAAGACGCACCTGCCCATAAGACGCACCTAGGGTTTAGAGGCAGAAAACAGGAAAAAAAAATTCTGAACTAATGGACTGCAGACACAGTACAGGAGATGACCAGAGACTGCGGACAGCACAGGGATGACCAGAGACTGCGGACAGCACAGGGATGACCAGAGACTGCGGACAGCACAGGGATGACCAGAGACTGCGGACAGCACAGGGATGACCAGAGACTGCGGACAGCACAGGGATGACCAGAGACTGCGGACAGCACAGGGATGACCAGAGACTGCGGACAGCACAGATGACTGCTGACCTTTGGGGAGGTGGGGAGCGGGTACCTGAATTTGACAGGTACCTGATCTTACCTGTTCCTCGATCCGGCCGCGCGCTGTCTTCCCGTCTTCTGTAATGGCGCTCGGCATGACAGCCGGGTGCCCAGTGCGCATGAGCGAGAAGCACTTGCGCTTTGTGATTGGTCCGGCGGCTTCTGGGATCTGTCATGTGTCCCAGCTACCGCCTTACCATTCACAAAGCGCACCGCTTCTCGCGCATGTGCACTGGGCACCCGGCTGTCATGCCCAGTGCCCACACTACAGAAGCCAGGAAGACAGCGCGCCGCTGGATAGAGGAACAGGTAAGGTCCCCACTGCAGAGCTGAGCGGCCGGCCCGGTATTCTGACACGGCCGCGGTGGAAATACCGGACCGGCCGCTCCATATTCGCCTTATAAGACGCACTGACATTTCCCCCCAGTTTTGGGGAAGAAAAAGTGCGTCTTGTACGGCGAAAAATACGGTAGATTACACACAGAGTGATATATTTCAATCATTTCATTTTTTTTTTTTTTTTTTTTTAATTTTGATTATTATGGCTTACAGCTAGTGAAAACCCAAAATTCGGTATCTCAGAAAACTAGAATATTGTTAAAAAAGTTAAATATTGTTGACACATGGGATTTACTAAAGGTAAATAGGCTGTGCACTGCAAGTGCAGTTGCTCTAGATCTGAGGGAAACATGCAAGGAAAATAATAAAACCGCATTTTTGCTTGCACATGATTGGATGAAAGAAATCACAGAGCCTCACCACATTTCAGAACTTCCCCTTGTATCTAAAGCAGGTGAACTTGCAGTGCTCAGTATACACTCTCTAAAAAGCTAATTAACTCAAAACACCTGTAAAGGTTACCTGAGCCTTCAAATTGTCTCTGTCTGGATCAGAAGGTTACACAATCATGGGGAAGACTGCTGACGTGACCGTTGTCCAGAAGACGGTCATTGACGCCCTCCACAAGGAGGGTAAGTCACCAAATGTCATTGCTAAAGAAGCTGGCTGTTCACAGATTGAACATATTAATGGAAAGTTGAGTGGAAGGAAAAAGTGTGTTAGAAAAAGGTGCAAAAGCAACAGGGATAAAAACAGCCTTGAGATGGTTGCCAAGCAAAGGCTATTCAAGAATTTGGGAGAGGTTCACAAGGAGTGGACTACGGCTGGTATCCGTACTTCAAGAGCCACCACCCACAGATGTATCCATGACATGGGCTACAACTGTCACATTCCTTGTGTCAAGCCACTCCTGAACCAGAGACAATGTCAGAAGCGTCTTACCTGGGCTAAGGAGAAAAAGGACTGGACTGTTGTTCAGTGGTCCAAAGTCCTTTTTTTGGATGAAAGTAAATTTTGCATTTAATTTGGAAATCAAGGTCCTAAAGTCTGGAGGAAGAGTGGAGAGGCACAGAATCCAAGTTGCATGAAGTCCAGTGTAAACTTTCCACAGTCAGTGATGATTTGGGGAGCCATGTCATCTGCTGGTGTTGGTCCACTGTGTTTTATCAAGTCCAAAGTCAGCGCAGCCCTCTACCAGGAAAGTCTAGAGCACTATATGCTTCCCTCTGCTGACCAGCTTTATGGAGATGCTGATTTCATTTTCCAGCAGAACTTGGCACTTGCCCACACTGCTAAAAGTACCAGTACCTGATTTAATGATCATGGTATCACTGTGCTTGATTGGCCAGCAAGCTCATCTGACCTAAACTTCATAGAGAATCTGTGGGATATTGTCAAGAGGAAGATGAGAGACACCAGATCCAACAATAAACAGGGTCGGTAGTAGACTTGATAGAAAGTTTGAAGGTCCTCGTCTGGTGATTTCACTTGCGCCCGCAGATGCGTTCCACGATGGTTCCTTCACTTCCAGTTGGCATTCCCATGCTGGGACTGCAGTGACGGTGTTCCTCACCTTCCGTGGAAGCAGGACTCCATCCATGGTCTTTTGGGCTGCACTGTACCTGTGCAATATTGATGACAAGCGATCACAAGTGAGTGTTACTTACCTTTTTGCTGAATTAACCATACACTGATACTACACTCAGTGGCACCTTCCTTGTTCTCCTACCAGAGCCAACAATGCAGACGAGCTGAAGGCTTCTATCAAAGCAACTTGGGCTTCCATAACACCTCAGCAGTGCCACAGGCTGATTGCCTCCATGCCACGCTGCATTGATGCGTTAATTCATGCAAAGGGAGCCCGACCAAGTATTGAGTGCATACTATACTGTACATGGACATACTTTTCAGTAAACCAACATTTCTACATTAAAAATCTTTTTTTTTTTGGTTTTAAGTAATATTCTAGTTTTCTGAGTTACTGAATTTTGGGTTTTCACTGGCTGTAAGCCACAATCATCAAAATGAAAAGAAAGAAATGCTTGAAATATATCACTCTGTGTGTAATGAATCTATATAATATGGGTTTCACTTTTTGAATTGAATTAATGAAATAAATTAACTTTTTGATTATATTCTAATTTATTGAGATGCAACTGTATATCCCAGGGTTTGGGCCACTTGCTCTACTCACTAGTAGGTGAGTGTCTCTCACATCTGAAGGTACCAGACTGGTTGGCCTGGAGTGCTGACAGAACTTTGAACTGTGTAGGAACACAACAGATGTAAGTTGGTATTCACCAAACTGGCCAGTATAGCTTGGTGTTTTTATGCTTTGAACTGGTCAGCCTCAGTCTTCTACTATATAATGTCAAAGTGATTGTACTCACATGAGTGAACTGGGATTAGCATATTAATACAGACATTCAGATGCACCTATCCTGTTATGTAAGGCGGTACCTGGGACACATGACAGATCCCAGAAGCCGCCGGACCAATCACAAAGCGCAAGTGCTTCTTGCTCATGCGCACTGGGCACCCGGCTGCCATGCCGAGCGCCATTACAGAAGCCGGGAAGACAGCGCGCGGCTGGATCGAGGAACAGGTAAGATCAAACAAAAACTCTGCGGAAGTAAGAGCGGGTACCTGTCAAATTCAGGTACCCGCTCCCCACCTCCCCAAAGGTCAGCAGTCATCTGTGCTGTCGGCAGTCTCTGGTCATCCCTGTGCTGTCGGCAGTCTCTGGTCATCCCTGTGCTGTCGGCAGTCTCTGGTCATCCCTGTGCTGTCGGCAGTCTCTGGTCATCCCTGTGCTGTCGGCAGTCTCTGGTCATCCCTGTGCTGTCGGCAGTCTCTGGTCATCCCTGTGCTGTCGGCAGTCTCTGGTCATCCCTGTGCTGTCGGCAGTCTCTGGTCATCCCTGTGCTGTCGGCAGTCTCTGGTCATCCCTGTGCTGTCGGCAGTCTCTGGTCATCCCTGTGCTGTCGGCAGTCTCTGGTCATCCCTGTGCTGTCGGCAGTCTCTGGTCATCCCTGTGCTGTCGGCAGTCTCTGGTCATCCCTGTGCTGTCGGCAGTCTCTGGTCATCCCTGTGCTGTCGGCAGTCTCTGGTCATCCCTGTGCTGTCGGCAGTCTCTGGTCATCCCTGTGCTGTCGGCAGTCTCTGGTCATCCCTGTGCTGTCGGCAGTCTCTGGTCATCCCTGTGCTGTCGGCAGTCTCTGGTCATCCCTGTGCTGTCGGCAGTCTCTGGTCATCCCTGTGCTGTCGCAGTCTCTGGTCATCCCTGTGCTGTCGGCAGTCTCTGGTCCCTGTGCTGTCGGCAGTCTCTGGTCATCCCTGTGCTGTCGGCAGTCTCTGGTCATCCCTGTGCTGTCGGCAGTCTCTGGTCATCCCTGTGCTGTCGGCAGTCTCTGGTCATCCCTGTGCTGTCGGCAGTCTCTGGTCATCCCTGTGCTGTCGGCAGTCTCTGGTCATCCCTGTGCTGTCGGCAGTCTCTGGTCATCCCTGTGCTGTCGGCAGTCTCTGGTCATCCCTGTGCTGTCGGCAGTCTCTGGTCATCCCTGTGCTGTCGGCAGTCTCTGGTCATCCCTGTGCTGTCGGCAGTCTCTGGTCATCCCTGTGCTGTCGGCAGTCTCTGGTCATCCCTGTGCTGTCGGCAGTCTCTGGTCATCCCTGTGCTGTCGGCAGTCTCTGGTCATCCCTGTGCTGTCGGCAGTCTCTGGTCATCCCTGTGCTGTCGGCAGTCTCTGGTCATCCCTGTGCTGTCGGCAGTCTCTGGTCATCCCTGTGCTGTCGGCAGTCTCTGGTCATCCCTGTGCTGTCGGCAGTCTCTGGTCATCCCTGTGCTGTCGGCAGTCTCTGGTCATCCCTGTGCTGTCGGCAGTCTCTGGTCATCCCTGTGCTGTCGGCAGTCTCTGGTCATCCCTGTGCTGTCGGCAGTCTCTGGTCATCCCTGTGCTGTCGGCAGTCTCTGGTCATCCCTGTGCTGTCGGCAGTCTCTGGTCATCCCTGTGCTGTCGGCAGTCTCTGGTCATCCCTGTGCTGTCGGCAGTCTCTGGTCATCCCTGTGCTGTCGGCAGTCTCTGGTCATCCCTGTGCTGTCGGCAGTCTCTGGTCATCCCTGTGCTGTCGGCAGTCTCTGGTCATCCCTGTGCTGTCGGCAGTCTCTGGTCATCCCTGTGCTGTCGGCAGTCTCTGGTCATCCCTGTGCTGTCGGCAGTCTCTGGTCATCCCTGTGCTGTCGGCAGTCTCTGGTCATCCCTGTGCTGTCGGCAGTCTCTGGTCATCCCTGTGCTGTCGGCAGTCTCTGGTCATCCCTGTGCTGTCTGCAGTCTCTGGTCATCCCTGTGCTGTCTGCAGTCTCTGGTCATCCCTGTGCTGTCTGCAGTCTCTGGTCATCCCTGTGCTGTCCGCAGTCTCTGGTCATCTCCTGTACTGTGTCTGCAGTCCATTAGTTCAGAATTTTTTTTTCCTGTTTTCTGCCTCTAAAACCTAGGTGCGTCTTATGGTCAGGTGCGTCTTATACGGCGAAAAATACGGTAGGTGTCCGTTTATGACACTGAGAATGGCTGCGATTCCGAGGATCGCAGCTATTCTCTGGTCATTCACAGTTTGACACTCAGGAGATCAGCAGATCTGGGCTGGAGATCTGTGTTCTCCCTCCAGATTCTGCAGCCCAGAGCTGGCGAATCAGAGGAACCACAAACTTAGCAGCGATAATTTACCTCTGCTTAGTAAACAGATCTTTTAGTGTAATCTCGCAAGATTATAGTAAAATCAGCCGTTTTCCAGCGTTTGTAGACCGTTTTCCAGCGTTTGTAGACCGTTTTCCAGCGTTTGTAGACCGTTTTTCCAGCGTTTGTAGACCGTTTTCCAGCGTTTGTAGACCGTTTTCCAGCGTTTGTAGACCGTTTTCCAGCGTTTGTAGACCGTTTTCCAGCGTTTGTAGACCGTTTTCCAGCGTTTGTAGACCGTTTTTTCCAGCGTTTGTAGACCGTTTTCCAGCGTTTGTAGACCGTTTTCCAGCGTTTGTAGACCGTTTTCCAGCGTTTGTAGACCGTTTTCCAGCGTTTGTAGACCGTTTTTTCCAGCGTTTGTAGACCGTTTTCCAGCGTTTGTAGACCGTTTGTAGACCGTTTTCCAGCGTTTGTAGACCGTTTTCCCGTTTTCCAGCGTTTGTAGACCGTTTTCCAGCGTTTGTAGACCGTTTTCCAGCGTTTGTAGACCGTTTTCCAGCGTTTGTAGACCGTTTTCCAGCGTTTGTAGACCGTTTTCCAGCGTTTGTAGACCGTTCTCCCTTCGTTTAGACCGTTTGAAGAACTGATCTACACCTCTTCATAAAAGGCATTCACAGGAGAAATGTGTTCTCCGAGAATGCCGGAGAACTGAGCAGCGATCTATTACTGCTGGTTCATAAATGGACACCATAGTTTAGTATCTTATTTTCAGGTGTAGCAAATGTCATCTATCTAGTATGTACAACATTGGCCTCATTTTCTTCACTCTGTTCATAGTCATATTAGTCTGCATGGTGTGGCCAATGCTGAGTGCTCATATGAGCTGTTTTTATCAATAAAAGTGAAGTCTCTGCTTGTTTCCTCTCTTACTGGATTTGGTTAGTCAACTGGAACACTTACGGTGGGGATACATGATTAGAAAATCGACTGATCGGTCATCCGACGATCGAGAGGTGTTCGTTCGTTGGTCAAAATCGTGGCCCACATTAACCAATCTAAAAAAATTGTTCGGGCAGTATGTAGTGTTGACGTCTTCTGTACAAGTGGAAGTGATGCATGGTGCGTGTGACCTTGTAGCCACGCCCAGAACGAGCGATATACACAATAATTAACAGCAATGAGTATAATATAGTTTTATTACATGACCTATATACATAAATAGTGATACATAAAAATATAATCTGCATAATTGTGGTTTCATTATGTCATTAGGCCAATCTACTTTTAACATTTGAATTTTTTGTTTGTGTTTACGAAGATTCCTTGGACGTAAACATCTGGGTCATCTTCTGTTTCCACTCATGCGTGATAGCGCTTGACAGATTTTTTTTCATACGACCGTCATACCACCGCATAGAAAATCGGTTGTTCGTATGCAAAGCGACAACATTTTTCACTGTTGTTCAACTGGATTTTTTGTTCACAATATCGTTATCGGTTAAAACATCCTGCTCATCAACGAAGAGAAAATTGTTCGATCAGTGGTTCCGCAAAATTTTTCGTACGATTTTCTTATTTTTTGTATGGGGCATTAGGCTCAATTCACACTGCTTCCACCCCAAAGTCGTGCGACTTGCTTACAACTTACTTTGATTTAACATTGCAGTCTATGGCACTTAGGATGCACCAAAGTCACAGAAAAGTAGCTCAGGAACCTTTTTTTTTTTTTTTTTTCTGCAGCTTGTTACTTTAAGAAAGCACCCATTGAAATTAATGTGTTTTGATTTGTCATGCGACTTTGTGTTGAAAGTCGCATGATAAGTCGCAGCAGTGTGAACCAGGGCTAACTGTGGTAAAGGACAAATCCTCAGTGAGTAAGGACAATATTTTTTGATCAGTATAGTTCTAAAATGACAGTTATATTGTATTTTTGTAGCTCAGGCCTACCTGTGGTAAAATTATGTTGTCCACCCTTTAACAACGTTGCTGATCAGGAGCATCTGGGAAACGTCTGATCTGTATACCCGCTTTGGTAAGCTGCTTATAATAGAAAGTTACAGAGAAAATTGTAATTATTTCTGTGTAACTTTATCAAAAGGACAGTTCTTTAATTTGTAGAAATATAAATGATAATGGCTTAAGAGCCGCACTGCATTTCTTTTCTTTTATTTCTTTTGTTTGCAAAATTGTTAAAGGGAACGTTTCCATTCTTTAAAGTGTTTCTAAAGTCTGCAAAGATGAAGAATAGCCAAAGCTCTTTTGGCCCTATTTCTCCTGTGGGTCACGGGTGCATTTAGTTCTGCACTCCTGTGACCCAGATTCAGCCAACAGCGGGCTAAAAGTTATAAAATAGGCTTTATAATCATTTTAAAGTGGTTGTAAAGGCTGAAGGTTTTTTACCTTCATGCATTCAAAACATGAAGGTTAAAACCTCTGTGCAGCATTTCCCCCAATCACAGCCAGTGAGCCAATGAGAAGAGAGATGGCGGGCAGAGCCGTGTGAATGGACACACAGAGCAGTGGTTGGGGAGAGCGTATGCTTTGGTGCCCCCATAGCAAGCTGCTTGCTGTGGGAGCACCCGACAGGAGGTAGGGGCCAGGACCCAAGAAGAGGAGGATTCGGGCTGCTCTGTGCAAAACCACTGCACACAGCATGTACATTTTAGACATGTTTGTTATGTAAAAAAAAAAAAAAAAGCCTTTAGAATCACTTTAAGTATACTGTATAACCATAGTGCTACCCTTTTATTCTGTCCAATTACCTCTTTACAAATGCATTATTTCCACCAAGTAAGCAATAGAAACAAACTGAATGGCCCTATTTCAAATTTTGGCTTTACCAAAGCAATGCTCATGTGTCAGCCGACAGCCGGAGTTTATCTGCAACTTAGACCTCATACATACTGAGTGTGTGTTTTAAAAAGAAAAGAAAAAAAGCCGCTTTTACAAGCATTTGGCATGTTTGTTTTTCCCTCCTCTAAACGCCCCTCTATTCTTCTGTTAACCTCTTTGTCAGTGTGCACATAGACCTTAACAAGCATGATTGAAGAGGAGTGTCTCAGGTAGAAAAAAAAACATTCAGAAGAGGAGTGTTTTGGGTAGAAAACAGATCATGCATAAATAGGCCTAATTGAATAAACATGAATGCGCATGTTTATGCGCATTAATGCTTTCTAATGGATAGAACAAGTTAATATTCTGGCCAATAGAATGCAATAGAGACCAAACCCATGTACAATACACATCCTTTTAACAGCTTACCTCCTGCCAGGAGAAAAGGCATTCATTCAGAGGAGCTGAACAATTGCTCAGTGTGCATTAGGTCTTAGTCTACAATTTTGGAATGTGCCATTTCAGGCCGGCCAAACAAAACTGCCAAATATGCCATTGGGGCCAATGAGAGAGCTCTGATATACTGCAGCACTGGAGTGGAGGTGAGTATAATTCCACTTTAACGCAAAGTACTTTTTACATATTTTTTATTTTTGTGCTGTTATCTGACTTCCTGTCTGACAGTTGACTACATTTATTTATTATTTTATTTATTTCAGGTAATTATATAGCACTGTCAATTTACGCTGCGTTTTACATATATATTGTACATTCACATCAGTCCCTAACCCTCAAGGGGTGTACAATCTAAGGTCCCTAACTTACATTCATATATACACATACTAGGGCCAATTTAGACAGGATCCAATTAACCTACCAGCATGTCTTTGGAGTGTGGGAGGAAACCGGAGTACCCGGAGGAAGGCACAGGGAGAACATGCAAACTCCAGGCAGGAGGTGTTGTGGCTTGGGTTCGTACCAACGACCCTAGTACTGCCAGGCGGAAGTGCTACCATTTAGCCACTGTGCTGCCCAATTCTACATTTGTTTTCTATTGTCACATTGTATATAGCCAAGTAGCTACCATCTCTTGCTAGTTCCCAAGATAGACTATGGGATTTTTAGTGTGTGTAGAGCAGAGCACCTGACCACAACTAACATGCACTGCTCATTACAAACAGAATTGAGGGAAAAGGAGAGGTTTGGGAGTTCAGATGTCATTATGAGGAGGCAAAAAAACACAATAAGAAATGATTTCTTGAAAAGTAGATTACAGGACCATTTAGTAGTGGATGTGTGGATTATTTTTGCAGAATAAGGATATGGTTCCTTTAATGATTAGGTACAGTACAGAATATATTTAGGACTGTATCATTTTTCGCTCCATAAGACGCACTTTTTTCCCCCCAAAAAAGGGGGGAAATGTCAGTGCGTCTTATGGAGCGAATATAAAGGCGGCCGGTCCGGTATTTCTGCCGCCACCATGTCAGAATACCGGGCCGGCCGCTCAGCTGTTGTCTCCTGCAGGGCCTTACCTGTTCCTTGCTCCAGCGCTGCACAGTCTTCCCGCGCTGGCTTCTGTGACAGCCGGGTGCCCACTGCGCATGTGCTGCGCTTTGTGAATGATCCGGTGTCTTCTGGGACACATGACAGGTCCCAGAAGGCGCCGGGCCATTCACAAAGCGCAGCGCTTCTCGCGCATGCGCAGTGGGCCCCCGGCTGTCACAGAAGCCGGCCCGGGAAGAAGGAAGGAAGGACAACTCCGCGGAAGTGGGAGTGGGTACCTGTCAAATTCAGGTACCCGTTCCCTCTCTCTCCCCAAAGGTCAGCCAGTCTGTGGTCATTCCCTGCACTGTCTGCAGTCTCTGGTCATTCCCTGCACTGTGTCCGCAGTCTCTGGTCATCCCCTGCACTGTGTCCGCAGTCTCTGGTCATCCCTGCACTGTGTCTGCAGTCTCTGGTCATCCCCTGCACTGTGTCCGCAGTCTCTGGTCATCCCCTGCACTGTGTCCGCAGTCTCTGTCATTCCCCTGCACTGTGTCCGCAGTCTCTGGTCATTCCCGCAGTCTCTGGTTCTGGAGCGAATATCCCCTGCACTGTGTCCGCAGTCTCTTGGTCATTCCCTGCACTGTGTCCGCAGTCTCTGGTCGTCCCTGCACTGTCTGCAGTCTATGGAGCATAAAGCGTCCCCTGCACTGTGTCCGCAGTCTCTGGTCGTCCCGCACTGTGTCTGGTTATGGAGCGAATATCCCCTGCACTGTGTCCGCAGTCTCTGTCGTCATCCCCTGCACTGTGTCCGCAGTCTCTGGTCGTCCGCTGCACTGGTGTGGAGCGAATATAAAAAGCGGCCGGTCCGGTATTTCTGCCGCCACCATGTCAGAATGGGCCGGCCGCTCAGCTGTTGTCTCCTGCAGGGCCTTACCTGTTCCTTGCTCCAGCGCTGCACTGTCTTCCCGCGCTGGCTTCTGTGATCCCCTGCGGGTGCCCACTGCGCATGTGCTGCGCTTTGTGAATGATCCGGTGTCTTCTGGGACACATGACAGGTCCCAGAAGGCGCTGGGGCCATTCACAAAGCGCAGCGCTTCTCGCGCATGTCGCAGTGGGCCCCCGGCTGTCACAGAAGCCGGCCCGGGAAGAAGGAAGGAAGGTCACTCCGCGCACTGTGTGGGAGTGGGTACCTGTCTGTGTCCAAATTCAGGTACCCGTTCCCTCTCTCCCCAAAGGTCAGCAGTCTGTGGTCATCCCCTGCACTGTCTGCAGTCTCTGGTCATTCCCTGCACTGTCTGCAGTCTCTGGTCATTCCCTGCACTGTGTCCGCAGTCTCTGGTCATCCCCTGCACTGTGTCCGCAGTCTTGGTCATCCCCTGCACTGTGTCCGCAGTCTCTGGTCATCCCCTGCACTGTGTCCGCAGTTTTCTTGTCATCCCCTGCACTGTGTCCGCAGTCTCTTGTAAAGCCCCTGCACTGTTGTCCGCAGTCTCCTGTCGTCCCCTGCAATGTGTCCGCAGTCTCCATTAGTACATTTACTGTAAGTTCAAGGAGTAATGACGTGTCAGTGCTGAAGCTCTGTTAAGGTATAATGTGCAAGTGGATAAAGATGTTTGTTTACAAAAGTAGCAGATCAGGAAGTACAAGTTTTATAGGTGTAACAGGAGATTTTTTTTTTTCCATGAGACAGGTCCGGTTTTCCTCATTGGCCTTGGTGACACTTCTTTTACTACAGAAATAATTGCATCATATACTTTTAATGACACTTTTTTTTTTTTTTTTTGCTATCAGACATTTTAATAAATTGTGTTTAGGCCCTATCATTATGTTCATTTTTGATGATTATTTACTATTTATTTCTTGCAAAAATGTACTGGTTTTTGTTTTATTGTGTAGCAATTTGTGCATGTGTTGAGCTAATTAAAAAAAGTAAGCCAAAAAAAAATGCACATATTTTCGAAAGAAAAAAGTGTATTTCCACAGGCGTCTGCTAGGCACTGCACCTGCAATCATGGGTGGAATACCAGGCTCCTGCAGAATCATCCTTTAGCTCCTTGCTTGTACCTCTGTGTGGACCTTCTGATAGGTCTGTTTTTATCAGCTTGCATGAGAGCAGCGTGAACAGTAAAACTTAGGGCTCGTTCACACTTGGCTGTTTTACCAACGCTTGCCAAACGCCCCTATAGCGTTTGGCAAGCGTTGGTCTGGCGTTTGCAGAGCGTTTTTTAACGCTCGGCAAACGTTCCGCAAACGCCGCATGCGCGGTTTAGTGGCGGTTGCTAGGCATTTGCCGAGCGTTAATAACGCCCCACAAATGCCTGTAATACAGTTTGAGTGGTGTTACCGCTCTGCAAACGCGTTGCAAACGCCGCCGCCGGGCGCATTTTGCGGAGCGGCACCATAGATGAGAATAGGAGGCTTCAAAGCCTCCTGACTCGACCAGAGGCATCCGTTTTGCCGCGACGCGATGCAAACGCTCCCGTTAGAACAGCACCATGTGCTGTAATGTGCAGAATTGGCAGAGGCATTTGGGAAGCTGTAAAAACGCTTCTCAAACGCCTCTCTGCCGCCTGCACACAACGCTAGTGTGAACGTAGCCTTAGACAAAGCATTTGCGAAGCTTTTACCAAGCTTTGGTGAAGCTTTTAAAGTACCATTCAGCTCCAGTCCATAAATGTTGAACATAGATTCTACGGCTTGGTTCACTCCTATATGTGTTGCAATCTGCTGCGGGACAAAAGGTCCCTGACCCTATCCAAAAATGCAGAGGCTGAAAACACATAGATGTGAATGTGTTCCCTAGAGAACCATGTTAAGTGGACTGTAGTGCGTTTCTGCAAAAAGCACTAAAAAAACGCATAGGTGATAACCAGGCCTAGTGGGAGTTCTGATTGCTACTTTAAACAAGCTGCTAGCAGGCTTCAGTGCTTATTGAAAGCCTGCTAGCAGCTTTCTTAAAGTGGTAATCAACACTCCCATTAGGATCTATGTTCAACATTTACAAAGTGGAGCTGAATGGTACTTTAAAAGCTTCAAAAAGCTTGCTAAAAACTCTATAAATGCTTTGTCAAAACTTGCTGGTCACACTGCTCTTGTACAAGCTGAAGCCCACAAGCCTTACAGAGCTGTAGGAAGTGCCAATGGACTATCAATGTGATCACCACACTTGTCTTTCAATGGGAATGAATGATGCTGATTTCAAAAGTGACAGTGACGGGGAGAAGAACCGCTGCAAGCAGTCAGGGAGGGTTGTGGTATTAAGGGTGGGGATCCATTTGCACCATGTTACACCCTAAATGTGGTGTAACAGTGCAAAAGATGGAGTTGGCTTTTAATTAAATATGATTAACGCCCAACTGAATTCTTAGAAACATATTCAGCCAGGTGGACATTATTTTAACATTAGCATTGCTACACTGCATTTGCATGGTATTTCTACATAAACTGTGTAGTCTAAAAGGCACCAACGTTTGACCATTGGTTCTACCTAGTGCATCCTGTAATCTTAATAGACCTGGTCAAACACATCCTGGCTTTTCCTACAAATCCTATCAAGGTTAGGTAAGACTCTAAACAAAAGGAAAAGGCGTGGACTTTAATTAGGCTTTAAAGTGGAACATTACAGCTAAATAATCCATGTTTAAAATGTTGCCTCCCCACTGTATATATATATATATATATATATATATATATATATATATATATATATATGGAAAATTAAGTTCAGGTAGGCCCCTATTGCAGGCATAGCTATGTAAAGCATTAATAAGTGGTGCCTATACCGTTTAAAGTCCAGTGTTAAATAGTCTCATCCTGCGCTGCACATGTTCAGCTGCTCTCTCAAAGCCACCAGAGGCCGATCTGCTGACAGCCTAAAGATTTTACTGGTGCTCAGGGGCTATGGGCTTCATCAAAATGGCAGCCTGCGGAAAGAGGGGACCATGCTGGAGCAATTTACAACATGCACTAATTTTGGTAGCTTAATGTGGAATGTATGTTCCTTGCTAAAGAACATTATTTTTTATCAAGTTCAAGGGTGTGGAAATATTTGAAAAAGAGACTTGTCCAGGGCCTAAATCGGTGTCCTAATCTACTTGTCCCTCGTGACAATCTACTTGTCCTGATCAAAAAAAAAAAAAAATTTTTTAACCAAAACCATATTTAAATCTGGGGTGCTGTTAGGAATGTCTGGGACTTTTAAAATCAAAAGGGGCTATTTGGCGATGTTTTAATTTTTTTTTTAACATTGTGCCTTTTTATTTCCTCCTCCCCTCCCTGCCTGTCTCCAGCACCGCACCCGGGGACTAACAGGGAAGGGAGATACCTTGCACTGTAATGAGCACTGATTGGGTGCTTGTCAAGAAAGGGGAGTGTTCGACTTTTATCCTTTATCCCTTTTGCTACCAGAGCCATTTTTGCATTTTTTCACGCATTTAAAAACTTATTTTAGGCTTGAAGATTACACAAAACCCCAAAGATTATATATTTTCTAAAATCAGAGAACCTAGAGAATAAAATAGTGGTAGTTCCAATTTTTAATGTTGCATGATATTACCACGAAGGTCTAGGAAACGCAAAATTTAGTAAACAATACACAAAATTAATTTTAGGCCACAAAATAGCAATAAATTACCCTTTTTATTTGTAAAATGTTATAGATAGGTTCCACTGAGTAAATAGATATCCAACATGTCAAACCTTAAATTTGCATGCACTCTTGAAAAGGCGACAAACTTCAGTACCCTATATTTTTTTATAGGCGACCTATTTAAAGACCCTTATAGGTCATCAGTTTAGCGTTACGGAGGAGATCTGGTGCTAAAATTTATTGCTGCCATTCTGACGTGCACGACGACATGTAACGTGGATCGCAATCAACATTTTCATGCGTAGGCGGCCCAGTGTGTGCTTTTACTATTGTAAGTGTGTATATATGGGGGTGGGGCTCAATTTTTTTTTTTTTTTTTTTTTTGAGGGGATGTTATGTGCTTGAGTGCAACTTTATTTTTTTTTTTTTTTAACTATTAAAAATGTTTTTTTCTATTTAACTTTTTTTTTTTTTTTTTTATCACACGGGACAAAAAGTGCCCTATGTGATGATTTTTTGGTGACAGGTTCTCTTTAATGAGACATGCAGAATTCTAAAGACCCTGCATGTCTCCCTTGTGCTCCCCTGAATGTAACGCAGTATACATCACACTGCATTACATTCTTTCCTGGCCTCAAAAGCTGGGAATCTGTGAATGGGGCCTGGAAGTGACGTCAAACGTCAATTCCGGGTCAGGACAAGAAGGGGACGGGAGTGGATGTGTTTGCTCTCCTCCCTCCCCTTTTATATGCAGGCGCACACTGAGCCAGTTCCGGGCCCGCTGATAGGCAGTTGGTGCCCGGGAGACTTGGCGAGCGGGGGGGAAGGTTCACACGCGGATGGGGGGGGCTGCCCGAATGCTTCCATCTGACAGGTGAGCCTTGCTGCTTGCCCGCAGCAGGGCTAAAGGTAGATAAAAGCTACCTGCCTGATGCTTGGAACTACATGTCCTGGGCGTCAGGCGATAGAAATTCAACATACCTGAAGTTGTCATGGGTAAAGTCTCACTTTATTATTCCTTTAAGGCCTCGTTCACACCATATATATACTATAGGTAGTTATTAAGAGGTTGTTAATTAAGTTTATCGTGTCACCCAATGTTTGGTTTCCATTCAGTAGCCAAAAAAGGCATTCAAAAAAAGGGGGGGTTTGTGAAAAGAGATTCACAGAAAAGCGGCTACATTATGAACAGACC